GAGCATGAATGTGGCGCGCTATGACTTTGCGTGCGCTGAGGTGGACGGGCGTGTGTATGCAGTTGGGGGTTGTGGGGCCCAAGGAGAGTCCCTATCGTGTGCAGAGGTGTACAACCCAGACGCGAATGCGTGGGCGCCTATCGAGGGCCTCCGCAGGCCGCGCTGGGGCTGCTTCGCGTGCGGATTCGAGGGGCACGTGTACGTGATGGGCGGGCGCTCGAGCTTCACGATTGGGAACTCACGGTCAGTGGAGGTGTACAGCCCCGGGAAGCATGCGTGGGTGCAGATGAAGAAGGGGTGCGTAATGGTCACGGCTCATGCAGTGGTTGGGGACAAGCTGTGCTGCATGGAGTGGAAGAACGAGCGGCGGCTTGCGGTGTTCACGCCCGCGGATAATTCCTGGAAGCTCGTGCCCGTGCCTTTGACGGGGAGCTCGAGCGTCGGTTTCCGGTTTGGGATATTGGGTGGGAAGCTTCTGCTGTTTTCAGTGCAGGAAGATTTGGGGTATCGTACGCTGATGTATGACCCGGATGCGGGGCCTGGGTTTGAATGGGGGACGTCGGAGATCAAGCCTTCGGGGGGATGTCTCTTCTGTGTCACAATCAGGAGTTGAATTTGAGTGCTCTGTTTTTATTTATTTTCGATTCTTTTGTGTTCGAGTGTATTCTGTTTTTAATTTTTATTCAATCCAGTCTCTACCTCACTGAATAATGTGGAACATTGGCCTGGCTTCCTGAGTTGGAGCAGATTAAGTACTGGAAATGACCCAATTGTACCTACCAATTTGATTTAAGTGTGTAATGTACAATGTACCTTTATTTACCACATGAAGGAGGATGTATTTTGTCCGGTGTGTGATATATTTTTGGTATATTTGTCGTCATTAGTTCATGTAATGTGTTCCGTAGATGAAACTAATGTTCTATCTATGTGTATTGAAACAACATTAATATGAGCGCCTGCCGTGGGGTGCATATCATTTTCTTTTATAATTATATTAATAATTGAAAACTTAAAAGAGTACATAGGCTACAAGGGGTACAAATAGAGTTGTAAACGAATCGAATCAAAGCGAATATTAAGATATTCGATTCGGATTCGTTAAAATATTCGAGGATTCGAATTAGTATTCGATTTGTTAATGAACTTATTTTTTTTTATTTGTATTCGATTAATTTAGAATATTCGAACATATTCGATTCGATTCGAAATTCGTTTTCAGAAAAATATTATATTTAATATTATAATTACAAAAATAATTTTTATGTTTTTCCATGTTTTTAGGAAAATTGTTAATTTAGGATGTTTTTACTTTTTTTATGTCATAAAATATTAGGAATTGTATATACATATATATTATAAACAAAATGTATACTATATATAAATTATATATAATTATTGCTAACGAATCGAATATTGGAATTTTTTTTATTCGATTCGATATTTGTGATTCGAATTCGAATTCGAATACTAATAATGTTTTGTAGTCGAAAGTTAAATGAATCCGAATTCAAATATTTAGATATTCGGAATTATTGCTAACGAATCGAATATTGGAATTTCGAATCGAATATCTAAAAATTCGAATTTGAATTCATTTAACTTTCGAATACAAAACATTATTCGTATTCGAATTCGAATTCGAATCACGAATATCGAATCGAATAAAAAAAATTCGATTTGTTTATAAGCCTAGGTACAAACTCTCTAAATGCGACACAAGCACCTGCAAAACGAAAGATCTACCAAGTGGATACAAATAGGGATGCGAACAAATCAAATTTTTTCATTTGATTCGTTATTCGAATTTGGTATTCGTAATTTGTATTCGAAAATTTTGAATTTGAATTCGAATAAGAATAGTGTTTAGTATTCGATATTTATTCTAATTCAAATCAGCACATATATGACTCGAAATTATCGAAGAGTCGATTTGTAAATAATAATTATATATAATTTCGTATATCATATATAATATAAAATCTTATTTATATAATAGTTATAAATATAATTAATATAAGTGTAAATAACAAAAAATATATTTGTATTTAAAAAACATATTTAACTTATGACAATCGAAAATCGGTCAACGGTTAAATTAAGATTTATGATCGATAAACGTAAGGAAAAAGAAACGATATGCAAGGAAGTAAGCTTTATTGCTTATTTGGAGAGGTCGGCTTCTGAGTACTAGACCGGCCTCACACTCACGCTTGGTCAATTACAGTGTTTTATTACAGAGTAGAGAGAGTAAATGTAGAGAGAGAAAGAGACAGAGAGAGTTGGTAGATTTTTCAACAACCCTTAATAAATGAGGGTGTTGCCTATTTATACCATAGTTCTGAAAACCGGACCGGACCGGCCGGTTCGACCGGTTCAACCGGGAACCGACCAACACAGCGGTTCGGTTTGAGGTATAAAACCGCTTAGCTCAAAAACCGTTTACAAACCGTTCAAACCGGTTGAAAACCGGACAAACCGGAAAACCGGGAACGGTTCACTGGCCCAACGATTCAAATTTGTACTTTAAAGTTGGACTGCAATGTAGATATTTGGAGTGCAATGAACAAGCCCAATGTGATGCAGCCCATGAACTTTATATTTTTAACTAAATGCTGGCTCACCACTTGGTTTTCCGCGAGTGAGGACTGGCCACAGGAAGCTTATTATGTGCTTCTTTTTATAGCAAATGTCTCCTTCATTTTAGCTTTCCCAAGCGATGTGGGACAACATGATTCCAAACAGTTTATGGGCTTAGCGTCTTTCACACAATTGAAAGAAAATGCACTTAACATCTTGCTTTTATTTCTTATTTTTTACATTTCTGTTAGTCAACTAAAAATAAACATATTTAGATAATATATATATATAGAGAGAAATTATTATTAGTTAATTTAAGTGTTTGAATGTTTTAAAATAGCTTAATATTTAATTAATAAAGTTTTTGTACATAAATTTTATTATATAAAATATTATATATGTCTAAAAATATTAAAAAATTAAATACCGGTCCAACCGGTTCAACCACTGGTCCGACCAATGAACCGTTGAACCAGTAGTTTGACCGGTTCGATGACCGGTCCGGTTTTCAGAACATTGATTTATACTATGACATGTCGGTCACTGTTTATTTACTCTTCATCCTGTCACTTCTCACAATAACTAGAAGTGATAGGCACCAGGTATCGTTCTGACGGGCATTAAATGTGATTTGAGGTTAAACTAATGATTCACTGCCAGGCATTAAATGCATACGTGAGATGCAAATGCTGGCAGGCCGTCCTACAGTCCTATGCTTAGTAAAGCCACAGGCTAGGGTGGTGCGTCCCATCGGCAATCATCACTTGGCAAGTGGCAGTATTTTATTGCTTCCAGAATCAGAGTGTGCGTCGAGGTCTGACCTTATAGGATCTTCAAATTGGACTATTTTCGCAACTTGAGTTGTTTTCATTTTCTGATCTTTGGGGTTTTCTTTCTAAGCTTATACACCTGTGAAGGTCGACCTCGTCCTCCCGGTGCAACAATGCCAACCTGAGAATATGTTCTACGCGCCTTTCCCAATAACTTCATTTCTTGTCGGGACCGGACTTTCTATCATCCCGATGCCAACCTCGCTTCGAGCTGTTGAAAGTCTTTCTGACGTTCTTTGTCCCTGGGTTATCGCCTACAGTTTAACTCGGATGTGAACATACAGACCCCCGAACTCAGATAAAGTCGGAGGTCCTCAACATTTCTTCTGAGGTCGTCTTTTGATAATAGGGTCCGAGTTGGTTGGCGAGTTCGTCCTTCAATGCACGCATGATACAGACCCGCGTTGACAAACTAGCGCATTGATGACGCAAGTCGAGAGAGACGGGTATTAAATGTGGCGTGCGTCGGATGCCTGGATTTCCTGCCTCAAAAGGCGTGCCACCTTTATTGTCATCCACGTGGCAACTCCCTCACCGTCAGTTCAAAAGATGAAACCTCTAGATGTGAACAGTTTTATCTTTTCGAATTTCAATTCTTAAATACGGGACACGTGGCATCTCCTGGCTGGTTGAATCCTTTTATAAATAGGAGATCCTCGGGATCGATCGGACTTTTGTACCTTTGGAATTTTTCGAGCGCATGAGTTTTCAGAGCAAAAAACCCTTCTTCCACCATTATGAGCACACAGAGGTCTTCGGCATCTTTTTTTCCAATAATTTCACCTTCAAATTTTATATTTTCATTCACTTTTCTTTCAGTCACGTCGTCCTCTTCAAAATCTGCGGCCGGCTTCGCTTCTTCCGACGATAATCCTGATTTTTCCGACGACGCAGCGGCCGGAACCAGCAAACTGGTGGTTTACTCTCCCACCGCGGCGGCGACGACGCTCCTTTGTGTGACGCTGATTTCAGTGGTAAGGCCAGTCCCATCGGCGACGGAGACAGCCTCCGGTGGAGACGAGAAGGGGGAAGTACCAAGGTCCCCTTTACGGGAGGCTAACAGCCTCGATTTGAACCAGTCGATGTGGAGGACGAGGTCGATGTGATCTTTCTCAACGATTCTGAAGTCGACCTGGACCTTGCCAACGAGACCTTGCTGTTAGGATATGCTGTAAAAGCTTGGCTTTTCAGATATTAACAACACCATTTTGATCTGGCAATCATGTTTTAGTCAAAATATTTATGTTTGCAGTTTATTTATTTATGCAATCATAACTCCTTTATTTTGCATTGTAGATAGTATGGTTAGTTGTGTCGAACAAAAATATTGTACGATCGTGTCCTTGTAAAATATAAACTAATTGTTCACAGTCTAGACAGACAGTGAGACCCCTGTTGGAAAAAGACTGTATTGTAAGTCTTGATTCGATTGGTCTTTGACTGATAGATTACACTAATAAACGGTCCGCGAAAGGATAAGATTATAAGATTTACTGATCGCAGTTATAGTCTAGACCTTCAGTAATTGATGCGTACTCTTAAGACGTAAGATAATATAAAACGGGCATATATATTCATTGCTCGTCTATTCGATTTACCAAAGGTGATTTCTATTTGCTAGGATGACATACTCGGTATTTTGGTAAACGATAATGTTTATATGATGTGGTCTTATATATTATTTACGATCACTATGTCTCAGTGCGTTGGGTTGATGACGTCCCTAAAATGAACTCAGAAAGGAATATTATGTCAAACCCTGTAGGTGGATGAGTATCCGACATAATGTTTAATGATCTGAGTGGTACTAGTTTCGGAAATGAATAAGAAGTCGATTTAATTTTATTGTTAGTAATTTAATTAATCGACGGACGTTATATCTTAAACATACAGAGATAAATCGATCAATTAGATTAATATTTATTAATCAAGTGGAGGTTCGAATTTATTGAATAAATTGAAGCTAAATGGGGAAAGCAATAATATTACTCTAGTGAGATGTTTTATTATTTAATTCTATTTAAGAATTAAGAATAAATTATATTCCATAATTTAGATTCCCTAAGGAAAGGAATATTCCTTGTAAAATATTACCTAGACTTAGGAGACTATGGAGTCTTCTAGAAGGTAATTAGGGTTAGGAGGAATATGTATCCTAGATGAGAAATGATATGAAACATAATTAGGATTATTAAACTAAATGGGATAAGTCCATATTTAGCACCTCCTTAAGGTCCCTAATGTAGCCTATAAATACACCATATCACAACCTCTTCCCCTACGCGTGTGATCATTGATTTTAAGGTCCTCCCAAGAGAGGAAAATCGAGCATCATAATATATTAGGGTTTGGGAGTTTTGATTAATCGCACAACCAAGATTATTCGAAGTAGGTGTTTAGGTAATACTTAGAAGCTCTTGAGGTACAATAAATCGAGCTCTTTTATATATATTATTTCTGGCGACTAGAGCCACTGCCCTCAGTCGCCGGAGCCGCCCACCAGTGCCAACCGCACGAAGCCGCGAGCAAATGCCTGCAGCCCCATGCAGCCAGACGCTGCCGCATGATCCCAGTGTCACCGCCCTGCTCCCAGGGACGCAGTCCCGCGCGCAGATTCCGTCTGAGATCCTCGTACGCCGTCGACCTGCCGCGTCTGTCCCCCCGCTAGCCTGCGCGTGCCGCGAGAGCCTGAGTCCTTCGCCCGCACCTAGTCCTAGTAGGCGTAGAAGACCCGCATCCCACGCGCCCGACGCTATCGACCCAGCTGCCTACGTACGCTAGCACATTGCGCTCAGCGCGCATGCCACCCAGCGCCAGCAGCCAGCCGACGCGCACGCCCAGCGAGTCCCGCACGCCGACGTACCCCTATCCGTGCCACCTAGCGCCAGCACACGACGTACCCCTGTCCGTGATCAGCTCGTCCAGCAGACGCCCACGACCGAGCTGCAACGAATCCAACTGAGGCCGACCGTGTCCTGCCGTGACCCGACCGAGCCCAACTGATGTCCAACGAGTCGAGCCCGATGAGCCTAGTTCCCGGTGATCTATTCGTGACCTGACAACCCAATTCAACTGAAAAGGCCTAGTCCGGCTGCCCAACGGACTCTGCGATTCAGACGATCTCGTACAGATGAAATAAAAAACGTCTCAGAGTTTGCAAAAATTTTAAACCGTAATGTCCTAACCCTAACTTTAGATTCCACTGCGTTAGGGTTTATTTCGATAGATTCGAATGTGCAGATCATTGACGTTTCTAATAGAATCCAACACTTGCAAGGCGACACCCAGTGTCTAGAGCGAGTCTCGATGGGCAGGAACAACAGAGAGGCAAACTCGACGCTCGAGGGGGTTACTGTCGTCCCCCCGGGTTGTGGTCCCCATCCTCCCCTAGTTTGGCTGGTCCCAGTGACCTAAGAGATTTTGTCACTCCGTCGATTCTTACAGATGTCGACCTCGTCCAACTGAGGGGAAAGGCCAGCTTTGGGCCCAGAATTCGAGTCTTTGAACCCTACCCCGGGGAGCGGATTCATTGTCCGTCGCTGGGCTGCATAGGAGTTTACCGCCACAGTGTCTCCATGGTTCTTCAATTCCCCTTGCCCGGTGCACTAAATGACATCCTCTGTGAGGTCGGCATCGGCATCAGCCAATTGGTGGTGATTGTCTTCGCGAGGATAGTCGGCCTAATTGTCAGGTTCCGAAGTCAGGCTGGTCTGACCCTAAAGGTGATGAAGTGAGGGCTTTGTTTGCTTTCAAGAAGTCGGGGGATTCTAGCAACTATTACAGCTCGACATTCCCCAACGTCGACAAAACATTGTTTGTGAATCTGCCCGAAACTCTACACAGTTACATGCCCGAGTGGTTTTGGGTCGGCGGCGGGTGGCGAAATGAGGCAAACTGAAGAAAGGAATGTTTGGAGAATGGATTAGGGCACAAGAACCTCCCTCTTCATCAACTCACCACAACATCAGTGGCAACTCTGACTCACCCAAAACGATTGGCACCACTAGCCGAAAACCTTCTTCTGAAACCAGTAACCATCCTCTTTCACCACCACTTCATATAACCCCAATTATGCCAGATAAACCAGAATTTAACCAAAATATACCAAGCCAACCTCACATCAAGGATGTCAAACACCCCCTATCCACAGTATTCCAGAAAATCAAAACAACAAAATCCCACACATCACATCCAATGAACTTGTGCCGATCCAGATGGATACAAAAGAACCACTTATTCAAATACCTAACCCAGAAACATCCCAAACTCACGCAACTATGCCCAACCCTTCAGGCAGCCTTGTTATCAACCCTCTTATACCTATTCAAGCCTTAAACCCTGTCAAGAAATGATGGAAAAGGAAGGGAGAGACTAAGAGTCAAATAGCTCCTATCAACTCTATTCCCAGATAAACAAGGGGAAAAGGCAGCTATCTCTTCAAGAAGAAGTGCCAGCATCAGCGGAGCTTCATCAGTCCAAGAAGCAAAAAGCAGAATCTCAGGAGGTGGGGGAAGCCAGCCTAAAATGGCCCCCCATGAATCGATGAAGATTATCATGTGGAATTGTAGAGGGTTGGGTGGGCCCTCTACAATTTCCCAACTTAAGGAGATGTGGAAGCTCCACCACCCAATTTTGGTCTTTTGGTCAGAATCTAATCAAAGTTATCACTTTGTAAATACAGTTAGCAGATCTATGGGTATTGAAGGGAATTGGTCTTCAATAGAACCTCAAGGGAGAAGTGGAGGAATAGCCTTGTTATGGAATGATTCTATGGCTATCAAGCGGACCATTAAGCTCAGCTTTTGTATTCAAGTAGAATTTTGGGATCCAGAGAAGACTTGCTTTGTTTGGGGTATTTTTTTTTTATCTTAGTAGTGATCACAGGATTAGGAAGATGCAGTGGGAATGTTTGGAAGAGGAGAAGAGTAAATGGGGGCACAATTGGTTCTTGGGAGGAGATTGGAATGACATCCTCCACAGTGATGACAAAAGAGGTGGGAGATTAAGAGCTGATAGTTCTATGCAACCATTCAGAGAGTTTGTTGGGAACATGGGGATGCAGAGTTTGGCTGTCAGGGGTACTACTTTACTTGGGGTAATAACAAACTTGGGGAAGGATTTGTGGAAGAGAAGATTGACAGAATATTTGTCTCTCTTAACTGCTCAACCATCTATCTAAATGCTTTTGTGTCCAATATTTTCAGAAGTTCATCAGATCATAGCTTACTGCTGTTAAGCTTACATCTTGACAACACCACTCAAAGAAAAAGATTCTGCTTCAATAAGATTTCGCTAAGGAAGCAAGGACTCAATGAGGTCATTGAGAAGGCCTGGAATTCTGAAACAATCGGCACTCCTATGTTCTGCTTCTTATCCAAGATCAAAATGACAAGAGTGGCATTACTAAAATAGAGCAGTGGGTTCAGAGCGAAAAATTCTAAGAAGATTGCATCCTTGAATGATCAACTTGTAGCTCTGAGAAGCATAGGAGGTCTCAAAGACTGGCAATTATGGGACTCTCTAACAAAGCAGCTATGAAGTGCACAAAGAAGAAGAGAAATATTGGCAGCAAAAATCAAGAATCTCTTGGCTCAAAGGAGACAAGAATACACAGTTTTGTCATGCAAGTACGGTTCAGAGGAGAAAGAGGAATGCATTCACTAGGCTTGTTGATGACCGACTTGGCTTCATGAGGTTAGAGCCAAAGACTAATCACTTCATTTGATTAATAGTTTCTCAGAAATAGCTGAACTTAGCTCAAGTCGGAACCAGTTAAATAAGTTGACTACCGACTTCCAGTTGACTGAAAGTAGAATCGACAACTTATCAGAAGCCGACAACAACTTATCCGAAGCCGACAACCGACTTCACCAACATTATGGATATGATCTTCAAAATATTATCCATTTATCCGACATCCGAGGAGATCGAATTTTCAAGCAAGAGGAGCTGTACACACTCGATTGGACCATCAAAACAAAAAGCAATCATTGATGTTTCCTCATTCCACTACACACCGTTTAATTGAAGCTGCTCAACATTAAATGCGATCTTATCTACCTCGGACAAAAAGACAAAAGCGACCGTACTATAAATAGCAGAATTTATAGTTGTACAAGGATCTTTTGATCTTTTCTTTCTCGCGCATTGTACACAAACTTGAAATGATCTCGGTCAAGAACAAAAAAACCGATTTCATGTACTCTTGCGATATCATAAATAAAATTCGATTATTCTAGCTGTTTATAATTTTAAGTTGTTAATTACATACAACAACAGTTTGGCGCTAGAGGAAGGGCGGCCCTCATACAAAATTTGAGGTTAACTTTTTAATCTGCTATATACGTGTGTAGACAATACTTTCACGCACGTATTATCACTATGTCGAATTCTGGGCGACAAGAACGGAACCCAGACGCTGGAACCAGTCGTCACCCTGCTCATACAATTGACAATACAACTGCGCCATCCATGACGATAGATTACTCTGTTTTATTCCAAGATCCAGAGTTTATCATAAATCTATCTAATTTTATGGCACAAACAAGAGCAGGACCAACTATGACGATTCCTAGTCAAGCTCATGCTTCAAATCCTCAAATCAGGCAATTGACGCCACATGTTCACCAACAAAATAGTGTTCCTGCTGCATCTCATGCAACTTCTCAACCACGAACACCTGAGTCGCAACGAAATATTGCCACTCACAATCGTGGTATAATTCCTGTCGACGATCATCCTCCGGAGGGAGTTCAACCTGAAATTACTGCTGAAAGTCATTCTGGGCGTCGTCAACAGCAACCGGTGCCTCCGTCGCCGATAACTTCACAGCATGTTCGACAGTCTGACTTACATCATACAATTGAACGAAATCGGTTCCGACGTGAGAGCGATGAATTACGCCATACTATCACATGGAACCGCTTAAGGCGTGAGTCAGAAGCGTTGGAAATGTTAAGGAAGATAATTGCTGAGTTAGAAACTCGGCAAGACATTCCTGAGAAATTCCAACAAAGGGTTCCTATCTCGGAGAATGTCTATCTAGAAGCCGAGACTCCCTTAGCTCCTCATTTGACAATGGAACCACTTTCCTCCAAAGTTAAGGTTCCTCAGATTGATCTTTACGATGGTACCTCAGATCCAGATGCACATCTCTGACAATATACCTCGTGGATGGATCTTCATGGGGCAACCGACGCACTCAGATGTTGGATGTTTTCTTTAACCCTGGGATCTCGTGCTCAAAAATGGTATCACTCTTTACCCCGATGTTCAATTTCCAAGTGGCAACAATTGAGAACGGATTTTCGGTCTCATTTCATCGGGGCTCGGGTATCCTTAATCCCAAAGGAGTCCATTGCTAATATTGTACAAAAGGATAACGAGTGTGTTAAAGATTATATTACTCGGTTTAATGAACGAGTACAAAATATGGAGCAATGTCATCCCGAAACGTTGCTGGTCACGGCAATAGCTGGATTGAAGCCAAATTCCTTGTTTCGCTGGAGTATTTATCAGAACAAACCGACTTCATTTCGAGATTTTTTGGCTCGAGCTCAGCAACATATCATAGCTGAAGAATCGATGTCGGTTCCTATTTTTGACTTCTCTCCTAACAAGTCGGAAGTAGGACAAGAATCAAAAAAGAAGAAGAACAAGTTCTTCAAACCAAACCGATCTCGGTTCGGGAATTCTAAAAATCCCGAGGTGAAAGAAGCTAGAGCCAAATATCTTAATGAGGTCAAATCCAGCTATCAGACAGTTTTCTCAGCTGGAGCTGCAACCATATTTGAAGAATTGAAAGGAAAGGGAATTCTTCCCGACCCCCGACCTATGAGGACTCCGGAAGAAAAACTTGACAAAAGAAAATACTGTTCATATCACAAGTCGGATGGACATGATACAGATGAATGTCTGGGCTTGCTCTCTGCCTTATTGCGGCTTATTAGACATCCACAAGTCCAAAGATTTGCCAAGAATGCTGATTATAAACGAAAAGACAGACTGCCAGAACCCCCAGATGATGATGAAGACGATGATCGTCCTGTTAATCCGAAGCGCATTAAGCAAAGTGAAAAAGAGTATACATGTTGAACTTGGAGGAGAATGATTCTTCATCTTTGGCTAAAACTGCAACGACTCAACGAAGTGGTTATTCTAATCCTCCTGGTTTTCATAATATCCCCCGAGTTAATAACAGTAGCGGCAAGTCTTTTGAATCACGGCGAAAAATGAAGGCTTATGCTCGAAAAGCTTATAACTCGGGTAAAACTGTCGTAACAACCGACCTCCGAGATAGAATCAATGCTCGGAATAATTGTCCGATTACTTTCAATGTGGATGATGCTAGCTATTTTGCTCACCCACACTTGGATCCTCTTGTGATCACGACACCAATTTGTGGGATACCAGTACATCGGATAATGGTTGATACAGGAGCATATTCAAGTATTCTAATGCTCCGCAAGTTTGAACAAATGGGAATTGATCCAGCTGAATTAAAACCTTGCAAAGATCAAGTACAAGGTTTCAATGGAACAGTCACACCGACTCTTGGAGAAATAACCATGCCGATTCGGCTTGGAATTCCTGGGCAGGCTTCCAAAGTTATTATGGAGACATTCAAGGTGATGGATCACAAGAATGAATACAATGCCATAGTGGGAAGAACAGCTCTATATAAGCTTCGGGCAGCTGTCTCAATATTTCATTATGCTTTGAAATTTCCCACAAACAATGGAGAAGGAACCCATTACGGAGATCAATATAAAGCTCGTGGAATGGTATGTGTTAAGCCCTGGCATGAACCACCTTCTCCAATACATATGGCAGAAAATATCCGAGAAGAACGAGGAAAATTCCCAACACTTGAGAACTCAGAACCTGTTACTACCGAGATGGAAATTGAACTATCCAAGAAGTCGCAAATCTCAAATGACATATATCAAGATGACATAATTGAAGATCATGGAAGACTCCCAGGAAAAGAATTGGTCCATGAAGAGGACGAACTTGATCCCCGGGCTCAATTCAAAGAGAAAAACAAACTCGACCGAGCTGAATCATCAGAAGAAATTGAAACAATTTCGTTGATGATCCTATTTGTGACAAGTCACTTCGGATTGGGGCCAATCTTAAGGAACCAATACGAACTCAACTCATCCAGTTTCTCAAAGCAAATTCAGATGTATTCGCCTGGAAACATGAAGATATGAAACTGTCGTAACAACCGACCTCCGAGATAGAATCAATGCTCGAAATAATTGTCTGATTACTTTCAATGTGGATGATGCTAGCTATTTTGCTCACCCACACTCGGATCCTCTTATGATCACGGCACCAATTTGTGGGATACCAGTACATCGGATAATGGTTGATACAGGAGCATATTCAAGTATTCTAATGCTCCGCACGTTTGAACAAATGGGGATTGATCCAGCTGAATTAAAACCTTGCAAAGATCAAGTACAAGGTTTCAATGGAACAGTCACACCGACTCTTGGAGAAATAACCATGCCGATTCGGTTTGGAATTCCTAGGCAGGCTTCCAAAGTTATTATGGAGACATTCAAGGTGATGGATCTAAAAAATGAATACAATGCCATAGTGGGAAGAACAGCTCTATATAAGCTTCGGGCAGCTGTCTCAATATTTCATTATGCTTTGAAATTTCCCACAAACAATGGAGAAAGAACCCATTACGGAGATCAATATAAAGCTCGTGGAATGGTATGGGTTAAGCCCTGGCATGAACCACCTTCTTCATTACATATGGCAGAAAATATCCAGGAAGAACGAGGAAAATTCCCAACACTTGAGAACTCGGAACCTGTTACTACCGAGATGGAAATTGAACTCTCCAAGAAGTCGCAAATCTCAAAAAAAATATATCAAGATGACATAATTGAAGATCATGGAAGACGCCCAGGAAAAGAATTGGTCCATGAAGAGGACGAACTTGATCCCCGGGCTCAATTCAAAGAGAAAAACAAACTCGACCGAGCTGAATCATCAGAAGAAATTGAAACAATTTTCGTTGATTATCCTATTTGTGACAAGTCACTTCGGATTGGGGCCAATCTTAAGGAACCAATACGAACTCAACTCATCCAGTTTCTCAAAGCAAATTCAGATGTATTCGCCTGGAAACATGAAGAAACTAAATACCCGACTTGGGTATCTAATCCAGTTCTGGTAAAGAAAAGTACTGGAGCATGGCGACTTTGTATTGACTTTTCCGACTTGAATAAAGCTTGTCCAAAGGACAGTTATCCACTACCTCATATTGATTATATGGTGGATGCCACTGCTGGACATGAATTGATGAGCTTTATGGACGCATACTCAGGTTATAACCAAATTCCAATGGATCCCGGGGAAGGAAAAAATACATCTTTCTATTCTGCCCGAGGTCTATACTGCTATACGATGATGCCGTTTGGTCTCAAAAACGCAGGGGCCACATATCAAAGGCCGACTTGCTGCTATACGATGATGCCGTTCGGTCAAAGGTGTTCAAGCTCTTACTGGCCGACTTGCTGCTTTAAATCGGTTCATATCAAAATCAACAGACCGATGCAGACCTTTCTTTGAGTCGATAAAGAAAGGAAAACATTTTGAATGGACCAAAGAATGTCAACAAGCTTTGGTCAAGATTAAGGAAACACTCCTTCAAACACCGACTTTACAGAAACCGGTACCTGAAGAAATACTGTACTTATACTTGGGAGTAAGTGAAGCTGCTATCAGTGCTGTCCTTATCCGAGAAGAAGGACATCAACAATATCCGATTTATTATGTCAGTAAAGCATTACATGAACCTGAGCTGCGATATCCACCGATGGAGAAATTAGCCTATGCCCTCATAATTGCGGCTCGAAAATTACGTCCTTACTTCCAGGAACATTCAATAACGGTGCTCATTTCATACCCTTTAAAATCAATTCTTCACCGACCTGACACATCGAGAAGACTGGTTAAATGGGCAATTGAACTCGATCAATACGACATCCATTACAAACCGAGGACAGCCATAAAAGCTCAGGTCCTATCTGAGTTTATTGTCGAGTTCACTCCTGCAATTGAAACAGTTAATGAAAATCAAATGTGGATTTTGTACGTTGACGGTTCACTAACTCAACATCGAGCTGACGGAGGAATTGTCCTGATAGATCCTCACAACAAGATGTTCTGCCATTCTATTAAATTTCTTTTTCCGGCAACAAATAACGAAGCTGAGTACGAGGCCTTACTATCTGGATTAAGTCTTGCGGAATCCATGAATATAAATGAACCCAAGGTATTCTCTTATTCCCATATTGTTGGTGAACCAAGTCCACGGAGAATTTGAAGTTAAAAAACCTCGGTTGTTGCCGTATCTGACACTCGTAAAACAGAAAATGTCTCAGCTTGAGGTACAATTAGAACATATTCCTCGTTCACAAAATATTCCCGCTGACGCGCTATCCAAACTCGCATCAAGCACTGGAATGGAAGATGTTGAGTATGTCCAAGTCGGTTACCAGGAATTACCGTCAACTTCAATTAAAGAGGTCATGAATACCGAGTTACAAGAGTCTCCGACCTGGATGACACCAATTGTGACATACTTAAAATCAGGGGCCTTACCTCAAGACCCAAAAAAAGCTCGATCCCTTCGAATTCGAGCAGCTCGGTTTACACTGGATAATGGAATCCTTTATAAAAGGGGATACTCTGTTCCCTTATTGAAGTGTCTAACCGAGCAGGAGTCGAAATATGTCCTTGAAGTCCATGAAGGAATCTGTGGAAATCACAATGGTGCGCGAGCATTAGCGTATAAAATACTTCGACAAGGATATTATTGGCCAGCCCTAAAGATGGATGCAACAAATTGGGTTCGCAAATGTGCGAAATGTCAAATGTTCGCCCCAAATGTTAATCAATTTCCAGAATCTCTCAAGTTGGTATATAGTCCATGGCCATTTGCAAGATGGGGAATCGACTTAAATGGTCCCTTTCCAACTGCAAAAGGAGGCGTAAGATTCGCCATTGTAGCAGTCGACTATTTTACAAAATGGGCCGAAGCTGAACCGTTGGCGACGATTACCGAATAGAAACTTGTTGATTTTATTTGAAAATCAATTATATGTCGGTTTGGCATACCGAGTTCCATCATA